TGAAGCACGGTGGTGGCAGCATCATGATGTGGGGATCTTCTCAGCAGCAGCCTGGAAGGCTTGTGAAGGTAGAGGGTGAATGAATGCAGCAGAGTGTAGAGAAATCCTGGAGGACAACCTGATGCAGTCTGCAGGAGAACTGAGACGTGGAGAAGACTTGGTTTCTATCAAGACAATGAGCTGAAGCAAACAGCCAAAGCTCCACCGAGATGGTTTGAAGACAACAAGGTGAAGTTCTGGAGGCCCAGTCAGAGTCCAGACCTCAGTCCAGCTGAGAATTAGAGTCTGGACCTGAACAGTTCTGTTCATCATGATCCACTTACTTTTTCTGCACCTTCTTTGTCACCTAAAGCAGCAGTTCTGTTTGTTATTATATAGTTTACTTATTTTGTTTTCAGTAATCTGTCCTATTTATATCTTTGCTTTTCTACGAGGAACTGCATCTCTGATGTCGCTTAGTTTTTCCCGACCAATAGCATCTTATCTCAAACTGACCCTGATTCAGTGCTGGAAAGTGATCAAAATATAAAACTTCCAGGGAGGTTCATTTGTGTGTTAATTCCTGTTTGTGTGTCTGTTTACTGTTGTCAGGGTGCTTTTATTCTGACGTGTTCAGTAAACACAACAGGAAGTTCACCTGTGTGGGAACCTGCCGCGTCCAAAGAATAACACGCGTCAACACGTTCAGTCCTGTGAGCTGCTGTGTATTTAACAGTTTACAGAAAGAGTTGGGTTCTCGGTTCTGTCAGACTGCAGGAGCAGCTTCATGTTGGACATCTGAAGGAGGACAAAGACATCAACACAGAAACTACACTTTGGACCAGAACACAAACCGGGTCTGAATGAGGGTCTGTCCTTGGGGACACTGATGATGAATCTCAACAGTCAGATGTGGACACATGACATAGGAGCCACCAGGATCCTGCAGACCGAACCCAGTCCGGGTTCTGGTCTTCAGGCTCTCCATCTCTAAACCCTCATCCTCCTCAGTCATTGTGTGGCCGACTTCCCGTCCTCCGTCCTCTCCTGGTTCCTCCTCTTCTTTACCTCCTTCAGCCCCTCCTGGATCCGCTCCACAGTCTCCTGGTCTCCGGCCTGCTGGGCCAGGCTCAGAGCCTCTTGGTAGAACCGGACCGAGTCGTCCAGCCGTCCTGGGGAGACAGAATAAGACCAGGTCAGACCTGCAGAGGACAGGTCGGATCCACGGCCCTGAACCTGTGCTCACCTGTGTGCAGCAGGATGCCGGCCATGTTTCCCAGCAGCACGTGTTGGTCCGGGTGTCCGACGGAGCGGCTCAGATCCACCGCCTGCTGGACCAGGACCAGGGCGTCGTCATGACGACCCTGCAGGTCCAAGATGGTGGCCAGGTCGCTCATCAGCACCAGAGTCTGACACACGAAGATCCATTTTAGAGTCTCAGAGG